GCGGTCATGGACGATGGTGTAGATGCTGGGGTTGGGGGCCAGGCTGGCGTTGGCATGCATGCCGTCTTGGGGTAGGGTCGTAGTGGTGTGCTCGTGCTGCTCCCATGCTAAGAGCATGTTGCTGGTATCGGAGGCCGCTGTTTGTTGCGTGTGCTGCTGGACAGCATTGATGAACGTGCGGACATGAATGGGGAAGGTGCGCATGTCCTGGCCGGGCTTGATTGCCGCGGCGGTGAGCATGCCGTTGGTCCATACCGTCAGTTTGTATTGCGGATTGGTGCCGTTGACTTTGGCACCGAAGACGTACAATGGGATGCTGTTGCTGCCGGCATCGCTGATTAGCTGGCAATAGGCCGGCGGGGTAGTTTGATCATATGTAAGTTCGACTTCTCCAACTCGGATATCATGTACGTCGGCACAAGCCAAGTACGCACTGATTTTCTGGTATGGCCCACTGCTGAAGGGTTCACCAAATGGCAACACGAGGAGCACGCTGCCGTCATTGGGATAGCTGAGCTCATTCACTGGTGGGTTGACATACGGATTTAGAGCCGGGAATCGCAGGCGGGCTGTAAGGATACTCCACATATGTCTGGCTGGAGTAGGCTTAATCTCGCTTTTGCTAGTGGTTTTGAAGGTGTTTACTAGAACCCCTGCGAAGCGATTGCTTACACTGGCTGGTAGACTGGCTGATTGTACGTGTGTGATGTCTACCACGACTCCAAAGCATTTGTTAGCTTGGAGGCTGGCCAGGATGGAACTGTCAATTTGGATGAGTACGATTCCGTTCGTTGTTGGCCCGCCGACGATGGTTGCGCATATACGACATATAATGTGGCACATCATGTGCCAATGGATGGCAATGGTCAACATGGTATAATAAGATTTTCTTTCACTCGAAGCTTACATTTCTTGACACGACCTAGGTTTGAACTGGAGATCTCCTGTGTGAGTGACAGATGTGATAACCAACTACACCATCATGTCCAAGATGTCTAGAAACCGAAAATTAAAAAAAACATTTTTACATAATCCACCCTAAGACGAAGAAAGAGGTGGGAATCGCCTGAATCCCGGGCATATATAGGGGTTCTGACATCCGTTGCCTAGAACCTACACGTACCATCATGTACCAACGAAGTGGGTTACTGAATTATACAATCCGTAACTCAGGGTTCCATATGTTTGGGTCTTGAGCTACAAGGCCAACACTGTGGTGGCCCATACAGTTCACATTCCAGAGCGTCATGTTCTGCTGTCTCGTGCCCCATGCTCCGTGGTGTTGAGCCCCAGGATACCCGTAGGGCTGCTGAGCCGTACAGTCCAGGCTTGCCAGGGAGTGGGACAAGTTCCATCACCGAGCAGGGCAGTTCTGGAATGTGTAGCCCTCAAAAAACATAGAATTAAAACATAGGAAGCTGGCGCTCTGATATGAAGCAAGCCGATTTCCCAATGAGATGAAACATCAGACCAGACCAGGCCGAACCCCACACTCTGTGCTCCTGAGCCCCCCACTCCATCATCTGGCCCCTGTTCTTGTAATGGTTGTGGCGAATGCATGTTCTGCATAAGGGAGTGTCATGGTCCACTGTGTCCAACCCCACGGTTGGTGGTGTTGAGACCCAGGATACCATGGGCAGTGCAGTCCCGAGCCCCACACTCGTGCGCCCCCTGCTCTGCACTCATGAGCCCCTCACTTCACGCTTCTAAGTCCCATGCTCTGTGCTCCTGAGCCCCACACTTCATGCTGCCAAGCTCCACCCTCCATGCTCCCAAAGTCCATGCTCTGCACTGCCTAGCCCCATGCTCCACGTTCCTGAGACATTGGTAGGGTTGATGGCGTTGATCCAGTCCATGAGCACCTCTATGTTGATGTCAGGTGGGGGAGCCTCTTGGTTGACGGGCTGGGGAAGGTGCAGGTAGTTGGAGTGAATACGATCTGCAATGTGCTGCAGGCAGGCATTGAACACTGTGTTGGGTTGTGGGTGAGGAGGCTGCAGGGAGAACCCCATTCATGTGTGTGGCAGCTGGGTAGCTGCTGAGTTACCAGGCAGACACTGGAGCAGATGGTTTACTGCAGCATCAGACTGCTCACTGTCAGTGCTGGTGCTGCTGTCCACTTGTGCTCACGGCAGCTGCCTGCTACGCTTCCGCCGCCTTGCTTCTGCCGCCTCTTCAATCGAAAGCAGCAGTGCCAGCAGGTCACGGCTCATGTGAGCACTGTCTCACAACACCCATGCCCCCTCCATATACAATGGCAGCGGGCAGGCTGGCCCAGCGAGGGTGAAGCGGGTGCATGGCCGCAAGCAGTCCTTCGCAAGCAGTCCTTCTCGGTGTGCGTGCTGTGCTGGGCTTTCGAACAGTGGTTGGAGGAGGCGAACATGAGACGCCTTGGTGTGGTGTGTGAGCAGGATGTATACGGATGCATGCGCCAGGCCCCTGGGAGGCTGCTGCAGATCGATGACCCACGGGTCGGATCCGAAGCTCTAGCCTTGCGCATAGTAATCTGAGGAGACAGACGGAGTAATATCACTCAGAGAAGAGCAAAGGGGTAGGGGCTACTGAAAGAACAACAAAGCATGGTGTCTGGTGTCCGGATTTGTTGGAAGCAAGATCGGTCTGGCTGTTCAAATGCATCTTCAGACTATGCTCACCGGACAGAGCTGCCGATCTAATATAGCCCTAACAGGTGCCATAGGTTGGTTGTTCGTTTCAATAACTGCATTTGCGCTGCAAGTCGTTCCTTGCGTGGCAGTGCCAAGGCAGGGCTTTCTCGGGTAATAATTGAGACCCCGTCTGGCGGGACAGCAAAACACTCGTCCACTAGGGGACTACACCGCTACACCGCGGCATCCATCCTGTAGCGCTTTGGACGGCAATCGTCACCTCAGGCCTCACCTCACCTCAGCCCAACACCCTCGCCACCCACATTCGATCAATAGCGTAACAGCGGATCCCTCCAGACAACAGGTGCTGGGGCCCACACCCCAACATGATATTGACCAGCAAAGACCGACAAAGTATCAAGGAAAGCCCCTGTTATCACGGCCCTAAGATGCTCCCCTGTACCGCACACCTACATTTCCCTACCTGGCCATTTCGATTGCAGTTGTGGAGGTTTCCAACAGCCTCCTTGTTATCCTGCCCCGAATGCGTGTCATTCTTCCCTTTTCCCCCACATAACAAACTGTTGTGAATGCCCCCTGGTGGGTGGGTGGTAACGGGTCACCACCATTGGCAGCTACCTATGATGGGGCATTTGTCGCCGTCGTCAGGAAGTTGTTGGCAGCAATCTGAGCTTCACCAACCCAGGTCTTTGTTGTACGTGCTTTATGTCATTCGTACAGGAACAGTGCCATCTCGGAGCCATGCATGTTTGACCAGACACAAGGTGAGATCAGATAGTAGGAGGAGGGCACCCCCCCCCGGGTACATTTGGGGTCCGATTGGGGACATCGGGGTTTTCGCACAGGGCGGTGTTTAAACCGCGCCCTACAAGTCCAAGGCCGCACCACCAACGGGTCGGGAGTGGGAGGCAGTATACTGCCTCCAAATGTTCCTGTTACTGCTACTGCAATTTCCGTGAGCTTGTACTTCACTCGGCGCCACAGCCGCAGCAGCAATGTCTGAGGTTCTAGCACCATCCCTATCCATCGCGCCACGGCTTTTCTCTTTCCTTTGGACAGCCAGCTCAGACAGGGCCCCTTCGTTCCAAGTCAAATGAATAATGCGATCCATTCCCTTTGCGTCGCGTGATGTAACATGGGACAACATACCGGGGGGAAGAGGAGGGATTGCCCGACGGATTGGGTTCGTTCGAACCGTCTTTTTGTTATCACTATTTTCTTCCCTGCGCGTTGATTGCTCCCAGTATATATTCTAATCGTTTTTTGTTTCCAAAATAAGAGCGTGGTCTCGGCCAGAATCTTGTCTGCTGCACACTGTTGTTCTATTGCCAGGTTTGACGTGCACAGTTCAGTTCAATTCAGGTCAGGTCAGCCTCCGGCGGGCCCGGCAAACGCAACCCTGACAACCACACCTGCAACAACAAACTTTCCAATAATAACACACCAGAGCAACAGAGTAAGAAAACTCCAGTCGAAGCCGTTAGAAGCCAAGAGACGAGAAGGGAAGGGACGGGACGGGTCCCGCAATTTTGCGGTTTCGCCTCATCCGTTTCTCTGCTTGCATCGGTAAATAGGTTTTGCGACGTAAGGTAATATAACAATAACTACTTCCACATACTTGCGATATCTCTTTGGTGTGATATCTCTTTGGTGCACTTTGCTCGCGACACGCAACGACGTGTGGGCGGCGGACGCAGCACTGACCCGTGGGTCATGGATCGCGCGAAAGGCGTGTTACGGGGGCGGGGAGCCGCAACTGTTTCCCGATATAGTTGCGACCTGTTGCCACATGTATGTATGTACATACACACAAAGATACGTACTCGTAATTATTCACAACGACACATGCACGCTTGCAGGACTTCAATTCTGATATACATACTCCGCCATGCAGCGCAACCTGGGCGAGCAAGCACCACCTCCCCCACAGCCGCCACCATCATCGCCACAGCAGCAGTTCCAGCAAGCCATCCCGCCAGACGCCTACCCCCCCTATCCTCAATACCCAGCCGTGTCGGCAGCGGAGGCGGCAGAGGCAGGACACGCGACCGCGGCGGGTGGCTACCCCGCGCCTGGCGGACCTAGCACCTACCCTGCCATACCACAGGCTGGGGGGTTGTACGACAGCCCCGGCACAACTCCGGGCCTGCCGTAACACCACAACCTCAGCAGCATTACACACAGGACCAACCTCCTGCAGTTGGTATTCCCGTACTCGGCAGCGGCGCCTCCTACCTGTACCAGCACCCCGTTTGGGGCTCAGATGACGACACGCGGGATGGGCGGTTCGCGTGCTGCGGCTGGAGCATGTTCGTGCTGGGTAGGTGGGTGAGTGGGAGGGGGGTTGTGAGGTAGAGGGGGGGGCGGGGGGGCCCCGCCAGGGGATTTGGGGGGGCGGAAGGGGAGGGGGGAAAGAGTGGTGGAGGGCCTTTGTGTGTGGGGGCCTTTGTCAGTGGTAAGGGTGAGTGGTAAGGGCACATATTTGTGGATGGCTTCGGTTGTGAAAAGGAGCCTAAAAGGGTATATCTGTGCGTGGGGGGGAAAGGTAATGGAGGTTTGCCGGCGGGCCAGAGTCAAGGGAGGGGACGTAAACCGTGCCAGCAGCGGTTTCCGCTTCAGCAGCTTCCGTTGAGCACACATGAACCCAACCACGCACATCGCAGGCTTCTTCATGCCGATTTTCTGGTTGATCGCCGTACTGCTGCCCTGCTGCCTGCCGGGCCGCCACGTCAGATGGGCCGCCACCGCCAGCTTCCTAGCTTCCCTGTTGTACGTCATAATTGGAATTGTGATGGGCATTGTGGGCCATGCGATGATGCGGTCCTAGCCGTTATTATATCGAGTACGACCATAATACCCGTCATGGTAATCGTCCCACATAGGTTGGGGAGGCTGGTTATTGGTGGTTTCTGACTATGTCTGTCATACGCCTACATTTGCCCTGTAATGACCCATGGGTCACCCGTGGCGGCATGAAGGCCCCAAAAAATCGCAATCATGAGGCTCGTACTGGTTCTCTAATAATATGTGGCAGCAGGTGTGCCTTTGTGGCCGGTGTGGCCTGGTGAGAGTGTGTCAGTAAGGGCCCTATAGGCGGTCGTTTGGAAAGGGGCCCTGAACGGTGAGTGAGAACGGCCCCAAGAGATAAGGAGTTGGAGTTGACGGCGGGGCGATTAGCACATATAGGCCACACTGAGAAGAACGACGACAACAGCGAAGACGACGACATGCTTTTCTATAATTGCTTTTCTTGTCCTGCCCCAGGTGGCTGAAATGACATGTTGCATTTCTCAGATCCTGAACCAGATTTGGACAGAGGGCGGAACCTCGCAACAATAGGAACAAAATAAAACTTCTCCCGGGCCAAAGCGAGTGGCCCTGCGGCTCCTTCTTGACTCCACGGCGAGTGAACGGCCGCATACAGTTAACAGATACTCGAAACGCCGATACGGATACGACCGCATTTTGAGCTTTGTTCTGACTTCAAACCCCCAAACCCCCAAATACATACATCCACACTTTCAGCTCGGTTTTGCCTCACCACCCACCTCCACCTCAACACCTCATTTTCTACCCGGGGCGTCCGCCCGCGTGCAAGGAAATTGTAACCCCTTTCCCCGCCCCTCCCACCACCACCACCACCACCACCACCACCACCGACACACACACAAAGGAACCAGTATGAGGCGGGGGGTTAAGAGTGGCGGTGAGCCCCTCCTGCCTTCCCTCCGCCTACCCACCCGCCACTTCTTCTCCCCGACTAATCTCCCAACCCCCTCTGCCTGCCTAATATTTTTTGTCCTCCTCAGCCGAACTGTCACGCGCGCGCACACACACACAAGGAAACACAGTACGCTTCCTGCCCTGATACCCCAGCACCGGCGACTTTCCCCCGGCGGCGACCTGCATCATCCTGAACCGCCATCAGAACGTCCTTCTCCCAAATGTATGTCCGTATATATATGACCTATGAGGAGCAGGCCCGACGAACACGCCCCTCGTCCCGCCCTGGCCCCACTCCTCCACCTTCCCTCCCTCTCCTGCTCCACTCCCGCCCCCAAAACCCACACACCACACCCGCCACCACCGGCACCGGACACCGGCAGTTCATTTCCCACTTTCTCGCGTATGGTTTCACCCCACCGCCTCCCTCTCCTCCACCTCCACATTCACCTCGACCCCACTGTGGGCAGTACTCCGGTTCGGGAGATGTCCCTCTTGGCCTCAGACTTCTTGCGGCGAGCCTGAGGGTCCGCCGTTGCGGGTGTGCGTGTACGTATGTTGAGGACACATGCAGGGGGGGGAGAAGGCGGGGGGGGGGCATTTGGGTGAGGGAGAGAGCTGCAGGGAGGTCCGTATGTGGGGTAAGACAAACCACGAACGGGATAAGCTGAGATGGGTTGGGAGATCTCTTCCACCCGGCCGAGGTGCCCCAAAGTCGACCCCAAGGTGGGGCCCCCCTCGAGTGCAGCAGGCGCCGTCAATGCAGGGATAGGCACCACGTCCTCGTTTGCCCCTTTCCCCTCCCCCCCCCCCACACGCCCGTCCCTCAACCCGTGCGTCCTCATTCCAACACCACAAACCCCTTTCTTTCCCCCTCCCCCCGCATGTTCTCCTCCCCACCTCCTCCTGCCGCCTCTTCTCGTGAGCCAGGTTGGCGAGTCGGCGCCGCGAGTTGCCCTCAACGTCGTCCCAGTCCAGCTGAAAGGCAGACTCGGCCTAGTCGGTTAGGAATGACAGTTGGGGAGGCGGTCGGGCGGTTAGGACTGCAGATTGGATGCTGCGGGTGGAATCGCCATTCCCTCGTCCAACAATACCGTCGGTGGGGGTTAGAAGGGAGCATCAGAGGAAGGTGTGTGTGTTGGGGGAGCAGGGGAATTCACATGACAAAGGACATTTAGATGGATCCATTGCCGATGTCCGAAGAAGGGTATAAATTGCCCATCCAACCCATCGCCAACTGAATCACAGACAACCACATCCATCCCCCCATCGGTGCCCAAAGCTCCTCCTCTCACCGCACACCCCACCCCACCCCACCCCACCCCGCACCCCACCCCGCACCCCACCCCGCACCCCACCCCGCACCCCACCGCACCCCACCCCACCCCACCCCACCTGCACGGACGCCCAGTCCTCAAACGTGCTAACAAGGACCTGGAGGGGGCGGGGGGAGGGGGGGAGGAGCGAGGGAATAAAACGCAAGTGCCAAATAAACAACAGCCGCCGTACAAAGTCTCGGATGGAAAGGGGAGTGGGGAAAAGGGGAGGGGGCTTACCGATAGGTCCAGGAGAGCGGCAGGAACACGAGAGGGAGAGGGAGGGGCGCGGAGGGAAAGGGGAGAACTAAAACCTTCCCCAAGGACACACACACACACACACAAACGCTCTCTCTCTCTCTCTCTCACGCCCACCAGTTTCCGACCCACCTCCACTTTTCCGTTGGGCAGGTAGTTGGTGCACAGCGCTCTGAGCACTGCGGGGTCCGCCCTCTTCTTCTCCGGCGACCCCACCACCAGCCCGTGCACCCGCAGTCCCAGACCCTCCTTAGCGCCGGCTAGCTTGCGCATGATGGCAGGGGCGGGCTGCCGGAGCTCGCCGTCTGAGGGTGAAGACGGTCGAGGGGGGGAAAGAGGGTGTGGGGGGTGAACGGGTGATGGGAAAAGTGGAGGGAAATGGGTTTATAGCAACCTGCATTACCAACCATTACAGGGTTACAAAAAGNCGCCTGACCACCAGCACCACCGCCACCACTGCGAA